TTCAGCTAAGCAGAATGGAATCCAATCTGAATGGAGGCATTAAAATTAAAGATGATTTTCAACATCTCCAAATGGCCACATTTTCAGCCAGCCAGCTAGCCATTGATCTGAGTAAGTGTCTACATACGCGTCAGATACCGAGCAGAGAGCAAGATGTTCAACAGAAAAGAGAATGGAGGGACATATTAATTACAGCAATTTTCCAGAAATGAAGGCCAAAGCAGGTTGGATTCACAGGGATAGGAGATCTCAGCGAGCAGCCGATTTGCTAGCACAAGGGCAGCAGAAAAGGGTGACTGGTTTGCTGTCCCCATCTTCGCATATCTGTTGAGAACTGCCTCTCTCACAAGGAGCAGTGGCCTTCCTACCCCCTCCTTTGCGCTAACAGAAAAAAGGAGTCTTCGGAACGGGGGGGGGGGAAGGCAACTTAACAAAGACAATATTGGTACAACCGAATGTTGATACTAAAGCAGAATCCAGCTACAAAAGGAGTGACAGACAGTTTTATTTCTCATGGGGGAAAGAAACAGTGAGTACAGACACTAGTTTCCCAGTATCAAACTAAATGCACAACAAAACCAAGACCTCAACGTTGCGAGCAATTCTTTTCACGGCACCTTATAGCACCTTTTCCCTGAGCCTAAAAGGTTTGTTTTTGAATTGAGTGAACCACTGCTCCTCAAAAAAACCTACCACCGAACTCATGCAGAGATGCAACAGGCAGCTTCTTCCTCCAGGTGGGTCATTCTGCTACATTCTTACATCAAGCCTTTGCAGAGCTACTCCTAGTCTAGTGCCTCTGAAATCAATGGGCTTAGACTGGAGTAATTCTGCATAAGGTAAGACTGCACGGGAAATGATCCTGCCCCTTCCCACAGCAGAGGCCCACAGGAAAGAGGGAAATCAGAGCACTAAATCATGCAGAGATGTCGTGGGCAGCCTCCTTGACTATTTTGGTTTCCCACAGGCCTTTTATCATGAAAGTACATTTACTTCCCTATGGCACATTTAGCAGCTCTTTCACGGCGCAGTTTGGGAACGAATGGCCCAAAGCACAGTGTGAATGGCTCCCGAGTCACTTGACCTACCTTCCAACAGTAAGCAGCCAACTTCCCAAGTTCTAACTGCTAAAACAAGCAGGGTCGATCTAGCGTTCATTTGGACATTACATAATCCTACCAAATAAGGCGACCCTGATACCAGATTGATTAAATCTGTTCCACGCATCCAAGTAACAATGGCAATAATCACAACGATCTAATGAAGTGATTCTTAAGAGGGGGGCCATACACCCACTTAGGGGGTGATTGACAAACCTTGCGGGGGGGGGGCATTCAGAACTTTGGAAGGCATTTAAGATTAGAGCCGCCTGTCCCTACACTTGCAGTGACTTCCGAAAACCAGTGGAGATAAGAGCTGTTTTATTCTGCCCACCCCACCCTCTCCTGGGCCCTTCAAATAGCAGCACCGAGCAAATAGGAACCGGGCTTAGCCCATGGCCATCAGGGACAAGGGGCTCACTGAAAGTATCTCAGAGAGCCATGCATCATATGCACATATATCTAAAGATACCGCTACCAATAAAGCTGCTTTGACTGGATTGCTGGTTTTACGTCCTAATTTTTTGCTTGGGAGGTATTTGATGATAATGCTGCATATTGTGGCAGAGGGTAAATTAAGAACTGCTGATCTAACCCATGAATTAGCATTCTAGTGCTAAATCCCATTGATGGGGGGGAGGGAGGGAGAGCACTCAGGGAGCCCTGGAGCAGCCAAAGATAACCCCTTCCCATCATCCTCTACTTCTGAACGCCACATGGCGTACACGGGATCTGCTCCTCCCTTCCAGCCTCTGACCCGCGCTGCCATTCCAGGTCCTGCCACCCAATTGCCTTCTGACCTCAATGCAAAGCACGGACTAGATGCAAGGCAATGCAATCCAATTTGGCTTCCATTAACTTTCCACCCTGTGCACCAACTAACATTAATCTCTGCCCTGGTTGATACAACAGTGACCACGTTCGCCCCCTGCTCTTGACCATTTAAAGGGTCCATGCGCCCCGCCTGGCATCACAGAGACATTGACCTGCTGACTGTATTTTCTGTCGGATGTTTTCTCTTCCCCTCCTTTTTTTGTTTGTTCTCAGCATGCTAGGGTGCAACGGGATACCAGCCAGGCATGCCCTCTGCCCAATTAAGCTGGTTACGCATCGTACAGGACGCAAAGAGGCCTTAACACCACAACTGGAGACCTGTGGCCCCCCCTTTTGTTTAACATCCAACCTAATAAAGTGTTCTGGAGCACTCCAAAGGCTGCACGTTGTTTTAGGACAATGTGGTTAGTCTTCATAAGTAGTATTATGTGGCTTTTGTTTCTGGATTTTGCTTCAGACCAACATGGCTACCTTAAGCCTCTTTCCGTTCATCACCCCGGCTCCCAACATACCCCGGAGTCTGTATCCCCTGTCCCGTTCTACAACAGCCTCTAAATCCTACAGGAGGTATTCTCCCCAGGGGTACCATCAGTGCACCCAACTGCCATTCCTGGTGGCTGGCTGCCCCTCCACTTCCACTGGGGACCGATGGCCCCTCTGAGCTGTGGAGTCTTGTGAGCAAAAATTCTACTTTGTGAGCTGCTGGCATTAAAGCTGTGAGCGAGCAATTTGGCCCCTGCAGAAATTAGTTTGCGCTGGAGCCATCCTTCGTGAGCTTAGACAAAAATCTGTGAGCTGGAGGCTAAAAAACTGTGAGCTGGCTCACACTAACTCAGCTTAGAGGGAACCCTGCTGGGGACTCACCAAAGCTGGGCTTTGCCTCACCTCCAGACGCTGCACAAAACCTTTCCATACAAATCAGACACACACTTGCACTTACTCATTTGTATCCCACTGCTCTCCCCAACTGGGACTCCGAGCGGCTCAGAACATCGTTCTCCCTTCCCCCATTCTCCCACAACAACCACAACCCTGTGGGGTAGGCCAGACTGAGAGTTTGTGACGGGTCCAAGGTCACACAGCAAGCTTCCACAGCATAAGTGGGGACGGAAACCCAGGTCTCCCAGGATCCTAATCCAACACTCTATCCACCACACCATGCTGGCTCTCATAACGTATGGCCGGGGGTAGAAGAGAATAACCAGCAACCTGCCTGCATCCCCCAAGCCTCCCCAGAATCCAAACACATAATAATAATGATAATAATTATTGTATGGCATTGTGTGTAGTATAGCCAGGATATCCTAAGACTGTCTGGCAGCCAGAAGTTCTAGTTCCTTTAGTGCTATGCACTTCTAGATGGCGAGCTAAACTTGTTTTTGAGGCAAGAGACTTTTCAGAGCTGGTGTACCATTGCCTGCCTTTGCGTCATGACCCTGGTATTCCTTGGAAGTCACCCATCCAAGTACTAGCCAAAATTCTACAATTATGCAATGCCAGTGGAGGATATGCATTGCCCACATAACCAAACACCCCCCCCCCAAAGGCTGGTTCTGAGACCATTTGAGAAACCATGCCTTATATTATTCTTTATATACATCATCATCAGGCACATGTACCGCTCATGAAAACCGCTGCTTTTGCCTCTCCTTTGTGCTCCAAGCAGACTGCAATTATGCCAGCACAGACCTCCCTGACTCTGTGAATCACCTCTGGCTACAGCCTCCCGGCAAACCTGCCTGTATGTCAACACTGACAACACCCGCAGGAACAGCGTTGAGCTAATTGCCAGCTTTGCATCTCACAGAGGACGCCTGAAAAAAAATTGATTGCCATCCCACCTTCTCTAAAAACAAAAACATTGTAACATCCAGCCTGATTTCAGAGTTCTGGTGGGCCCAAAAGCTTGCACAGCATTTTGGGTCAAACTGGCTGGTTCTTATGCAAGGTACAAGGCAGGATTTTGTTATCACTTTTACTGAAGCTGGACCTAACGTCACAAAATGTTAACAACCCACTGAGCCGTTGCTCTCTTTGGCTTCCATCCTGGAATACCCAAGATCAGACTATGGTTTCCATTTAAAAAAAGAAAAGACTTTAAGAACTGAAATAGAACAGAACAGTAATTATTTATTCCTCCCCTCAAAGTAATTTTAAACAAGGAGCAAAGCGAATTCCTCCTGCGAAAAGATGCCTGCAGTTCTACATGTGTCCACTAGGAGAAACGTCGCTCCATTGCCAAGCCTGTTGCGGGGCGGCGGAGGGGCAGGGCAGGTGGGTCCCCCCATGCCGGCACTTGCTACAAAATTCCCCCATCATAAAATCTTTTTTTTTTAAAAAACGAAGCTGCTACCTACATGGCTGCATTCTCGGCTGCTCTCAGAAGACCAGGCATGTCTGCTGCTGCCGCCGCCGCCTAGGTCTTCTTCTTCCCTACCAGCATATTTTAGGTTGCAAAACCCTCCGTGGCAGAACCGAAGGGAATCAAAGGTTTCGTTTAAATGGATCCAACCCCCCCCCATGCCCCGAGGTTTCAAAGCGAGCGGCATCTGATTCCCACCTACCTTCCCTTTAACACGGAAGCGCCGGACGTGTGCGGCGGCTGCCTGCGGCTACTGGGGGAATACTCTGTCTCTGCTCAGAGGCGCTCTTCTCTTCTCTTGACTATCACTTCACATGCTCCAGAAGCGGAGCGGCCGCCGAAAACAGCAGGTTGAGAAGACCGGCCTCGGTCTTGCGTTAAAAAAAAAATAAAAAATTAACACACGAACCTGTTCCTTAAGGGGTTTTTTTTTTTAAGGAGAACCGTCAGACACGTCACGCGTGACCCACAAGCAGGGCTCAACTTGCGCTCCCCAACACGTGCCTCACGCTCGCCCGTCAAGTCCCTTGCCGCCGGCCAGCCCGCCAGCCAGACCGTGTCATGTGTGACCGAACGCGAGTCCCGGCCCCTGGGCGCACCCCGAGCCCTCTTCTCTCCCACGCCGGAGCGAGGCTCTGCGCCCGAGGCGAGGCAAGGCAAGGCAAGGCAGCGACTCTCCCCGCCCTTCCGCGCCCGCTACTTACAGCTCCGGACTGGTCGCCCAAGCAGCGCTTCTCACCGGGCCGCCGCCAGCATTCCCGCGCGCCGCCGGAGACCGAGGCGGCGAGTCCGGCAACTGGCCGCAGCTTCCCCGGACCAGCGGCGGCCGCTTCAGTCGAGCCCGGGCGGGGGGCTCATCGTCGTCGTCGCTCGATCCCCGCCCCTCACTCTCCGGCTGGCAGCGGCGACTCGGCCCCGCGGCAGCTCCCCGAGGCGCAGCACAGCCGCCACCCGCCGGGCCCTTTCTCGCAGCAGCTCCTCCGGCGGCGTCTGAGCCGCGGCTGGCCTGGGCTGGACTCAGCCCCGCGCTTGGCAGTGCGCCGC